CTGGTACAGGAGACTGCCCCTCCTTCTCCAGCAGAGCATGAAGTAGAGTCTGGGGGTTTTTTTCCCCCCAGGTGCCTGTCGGGGCCTGGGTTTCAGCTGTCCACACCACAGCAGAGGGCAACGAGCTTAAAGCCCCTGATGGCTCTGGGCGCTGACTCTCACCAGTGGCTATGGATGAAGTCACAGGCGATTTTCAGCCAGCGCCTAATTTTATTCTTAAGATGATATTTTGTTCAGTAGTTTGGATATACTAAATTATTTTATGTGTGTTTATTACCTCAAAATGGCCTAATTTGATAACTGCAAATTTAAATACGGAATAATCATGGGAAGGTAAAATGTTTATACTAAACACTATATGAAAAACTTTGTTTAGGAATTGAAGGAACCATAGATATATAAGTTAGGATTTTCCTAGTGCTAGATCCTAGAAAATAAGCTGTTTGTTTCCTGCAGACAGGAGACAGAAAGGGACCCCCACAGAGGGAGTGTTGCTTCCTGATCTGGAGTTCACCCTGAGGCATACATGCCAAATGCTTGCATTTGTGAACCCCTCCCTCTTGAGCCAGGCAGAACTTTTTCAATAGAAAGAGTGTGGCTTTATTTGCATTGAATTCTTTTTGTGATTTATTTCCTGATAATTCTTAATAAAGATACAGAGAAGCTTGGCTAGGGGTTTTCAGTCAAGAACTGCTGGCCCCCTGTTCTAAGCTCTGTGCTTTATTTCATTCCTGGCTGTTTGTCCCATTATTAATAACTATAAAATTACTCCATTGTTTGGGACCCTCCGTTTGCAACACATAATAATAATAGTAATATCAATATTTTCATCAGATCTCCTTTAAAGCTAAAAAAAAGGAATAGCACATAATTTGCTTTCTTATACTATACTGGTTTATAAAGAGATGATGTTAATACTCCAATATTCTATTTTTTTCCATAATTAGAAACATCTGTAAAAAACATTAGAACCTTTATGATACATATAGGTAAAGGCAAAAAGATATGTTTCTGAAGAATTGAAAAGAGTCTATTAGAAGGAAAGTGATCATCAAACCGTGTAGCTTTGACTTACACAACTAGGTTCAACACAGGCAAGCATTAATTAAGGGGCTATAGTGAAGAGCCTATGGTGATGAAAGAAGAAGTTCAGGCTGCTTTGAAGGAAATGGCAAAAAATAAGGCTCCAGGAATAGATGGTATA